CCATACAGGAGCCCCAGAGAACGTGGGGCGGCTCCTGTCCTCTCTGGGTGTTGAGCTGAGGAAACACTAGCAATCAGACCTGTATTGCTCTATCCTGTTTTGACACCGGCGCCAGTAGTGGGTTCCGGGCGGTACGGCCTGTTACCAGTGTACCGGTAATAGCTGGGAGCAGCAGCAACTGTACCGGTACAGTGGCTCATTTGGCCCATTCACCCGCCCGTGTTCCATGGCTGTTTATAACGCAACTGGCCAATTGCACAAGCGCGCACAGCATGCGCGACCTCCATCGAGCAGCTGGGCGTCACAAGGCGGTGGTGTGCTCATGGACGCCAACTAGGACGCCCGGCCCTGTGTGCAGCGTACTGGTTGCGCCGGGATCAGGAACCCACCACTGACTGGCACCCTTCCAAATTTGCGTCCTTGCAGGGGGGAGGCAGGATAGCAGAAGACCAGGGGTGCAATGTAGGGCTGAGATCCCAGGGGGAGCCGTCTGGGGGGCTGCGCTTTCTCAGCGCTTGGGGTCCGTCCGTCTTCGCGGCTCCCCTTGTTTGTTGCTCGCAGTGCCCACTGCAGTTAGGCAGCTGGCCTCCATGTTGTGTTCTTCCCCGGGGACAAAGGGTGACTTTGGGGGCTTTGGATGGGCAGCTGGCATGGCCCTCACTGGTCTGCCTCCCTCCCGGCAGAACTCCACATCCCTCTCGGAGGAGCAGCTGAGGAAGGAGGTGGCCGCGGGGCGGATCCCCGGGCCTGTGGCCCTCCAGAGCAGGGGCAGGCGAGCTGCTCAGGTAACGGGCCCGGGTGAGAGCTGCAGAGCCTCTCTGGCTCCAGGCTATGCCAGGGCATCCCTACCTGGGCAACGTGGAGTCAGCTCTGAGCCTGTCAGCTCTTGCGGACTTGGGAAGGGCCTGAGGAACTTTGGAAAACTGCCAGCCTCTTCTCCTCTCCTCTCCTCTTTTATCTTCTCCGCTCTCCTCTCTTCCCTTATCTCTTCTCCCCCTCTCCTCTCTCCTCTCTTTTCTTCTCTCCTCTTCTCTCTTCTCGTCTCTTCTCTTTTCTTCTCTTCCCCTTCTCCCCTCTCCTCTCTTTTCTCTCTTTTCTCTTCTTCACTCCTCTTTTCTCTTCTCTCTTGTCTCCTCTCCTCTTTTCTTCCCCTTCTCTCGTCTCCTCTCTTTTCTCCTCTCTTCTCTTCTCTCTTTTCTTCTCTTCCCCTTCTCTCCTCTCTCTCCTCTCCTCTCTTCCATTTTCTCTTCTCTTCTCTTTTGACTTGACTTGACCTCTCTTTCTTGCCTTTTCTCTTTTTTTCTTCTCTCCTCTCCTCTCTTCCTTTATCTCTTCTCCTCCTCCTCTTCTCTCCTCTTTTCTTCTCTTCCCCTTCTCTCCTCTCCTCTCTTTTCTCTCCTCTCCTCTTTTATCTTCTCTCTTGTCTTCTCTCCTATCCTTTCTTCTCTCTTCTCTCCTCTTTTCTTCTCTTCTCCTTCTCTCCTCTCCTCTCTCCTCTCTTCCATTCTGTCTTCTCTTCTCTTTTGACTTGACCTCTCTCTTGCCTTGCCTTGCCTTCTCCCTTTTTTCTCTTCTCTTGACTTGACTTCTCTCTCTTGCCTTCTCTCTTTTTTCTCTTCTCTTTTCTTGCCTTGCCTCTTTTCCCTCTTGCCTTTTCTCTTCTCTCTCTCTCTCTCTTTCTTTCTCTTTTTTTCTCTGCTCAACCATCAGGCCCGGGAAACCCAGCTGAGACAGGATGCCGATGTCTGGGAGATGCTTTCCCGCTTTGCCGCAGAAGGCAGCCCCCCGAAGTCCCCCCCGCCTGCCAAAATGCGGAGACCCTCTGTGGCTCTGCATCCTCCTCGCTCGGCTGCTCCCCCAGGCAGGTCTTCTCTGCTCCCTCCTTCTCTGGCCGCCCCTCCTGGCTCAGCCCCCCAGGTACACCTCTTCTACCTTGACCACTGCACGCATCTGGCCGGAAGTGGGGGGGGCTGGCAATCCCTGTTTCCCCAGGGCAACTTTGCCTTGCTGGCTCCCTCTGGGGCCCTTGACTCCAAACTCATCCTTCCCCTCCTTTTAACTAAGTTAATGACCTGGGTGGATCAAAACATGTCTTCTTTTTCCTTCCTTTCTTCCTCCCATCCTTCCTTCCTTCCTTCCTTCCTTCCTTCTCCTCCCTCCCCCTCCTTCCTTCCTTCCTTTCCTCCCTCCTTCCTTCTTTCCTCCTTCCTTCCTTCCGTATGTCCTCCTTCCTTCCTTTCTTCTTTCTCCTCCCTCCCTCCTTCCTTTCTTCTTTCTCCTCCTTCCTTCCTTCTTTATTCTTCCTCCCTCCCTCCTTCCTTCCATCTGTCCTTGCTCCTTCCTTCCTTCTTTCTCCTTCCTCCCTCCCTCCTTCCTTCCATCTGTCCTCGCTCCTTCCTTCTTTCTCCTCCCTCCCTCCTTTCTTCTTCCTCCCTCCTTCCTTCCATCTGTCCTCGCTCCTCCCTCTCTTCTTTCTCCTCCCTCCCTCCCTCCTTCCTTCCATCTGTCCTCGCTCCTTTCTTCCTTCTTTCTCCTCCCTCCCTCCTTCCTTCCTTCCATCTGTCCTTGCTCCTTCCTTCCTTCTCCTCCCTCCCTTCTCCTTCCTTCCTTCCTTCCTTCCTTCCTTCCTTCCTTCCTTCCTCCCCTTCTCTCTGGATGGGGCTGCACATCCTCTGCCCTGGAGTCCAGGCAGGTGGCCTTCCCAAAGGACGGTCTGTTGATGCCGACAGCCGGCTGCTTTCTTCTTCCAAGCACCGACTCTGGGGGGCTGAGGCCCCAAAGGTACTCTTTCCGGGGGTGTAATGCAGACAAGTCTGGGAGTGGGCTTTGGGCAGCAGATGTTGAAACATCCAAAGCTTGGAACCTTTTCTTTTGTGGGAAGGAAGAGAAGAGAGGGAAGATTAGGGAAGAGAGAAGGAAAGGGAGGGAGGGAATGAGGGAAGATTAGGAAAGAGAGAAGGGAGAGGGAAGGTGGAAGGAAGCAACAGGGAAAGAAAGGAAGGAGGGAGGAAAGAAAGGGAAGAGAAGGAAAGGAAAGGAAGGAAGGAGGAAAGAAAGGAAAGAGAGGAGGAAAGGAAAGCAAGGGAGGGAAGATTAGGGAAGAGAAGGAAAGGGAAAAGAGAAAGGAGGGAGAAAAGAGAAGGGAAGAGAGAAGGAAAGGAAAGAAGCGAGGAAGGAAAGAAAGGAGGATTATGGAAGGAAGGAAAGGAAAGGGGGAGGGAAGGTGGAAGGAAGGAAAGGAAAGAGGGAGGGAAGGAGGAAAGAAAGAGAAGAGAGAAAAAGGAAAGGAAGGGAGGGGAGGGGAGGGGAGATTAGGGAAGAGAGGGGAAGATTGGGGAAGAGAGTAGGAAAGAAAAGAAGCGAGGAAGGAAAGGGAAGAGAAGGGAAGAGAGAAAGGAAAGGAAAGGGGGAGGGAAGATGGAAGGAAGGGAAGGGAAGAGAGAAGGAAAGGAAGGGAGGGAAGATTAGGGAAGAGAATGGAATAGAAAGAAAGGAAAGGGGGGAAGGTGGAAGGAAGGAAAGGGAAGGAGGGAGGGAAAAAAGGGAAGAGAGGTGGAAAGGGAGGGAAGATTATGGAAGAGAAGGACAGGAAAGGCGGAAGGAGTGAGGAAAGAGGAAGGAAAGAAAGAAAAAGAAAGAGAAGGGAAGATTGGGGAAGAGAGAAGGAGAAGAAAGGAGGGAGGGAGTGGGCTGCTTTCCATCCCAAGGTCCTTTTTCCCTAAAATGGCGGGGTGCGGTGGGGTGTGCTTTGTTCCGCCTTGAATTCCTGGAGCCCTTTTCCCTGGGGGGGCGCGTGAGTGTGTGTGTGTGGGAAAACAGAAGCGTGGGCTCTTTGCTGGGATGGGTGGTGGCATTGGTGTGTTGTCCCTTGTGTGTGTGAGGGTTGATGGGGTGCCCACTAGAACCGGCTCCCCTCTTCTGCCTCAGCGCTGGCTGCTCTACCGAGGCCTTCCCAAACTTCCGGAAGCCATTTTCTACTGGGAACTGCCCAGACCTTTCCTAGGCAACCAGGTAAACCCCCTTCCCAGGTGGTGAGCCTGGGACACAGCATGGCATTGTTCTCTCTCCCCCTCTCCCTCTCCCTCTCCCTCTCCCTCTCTCTCTCTCTCCCCCCCCCGACTGTCCTGCGTGGCAGCAGCTCATTACAGGTAGTCCTCGACTTATGTCTCGCATTTTATTTTAATATAAGCAATCCATTTTCCATTAAACAGTGTGTCACCTGGGTTCAAATATTTTGTGCCAACAATTTCCGGTTTGCTCATAGGCATGGTTTTTGCCCTCCGGAGCGTTCAGGAGGCTTCCCTGAAGGCTCCGGAGGGCAAAAAATGACCCTACGAGCAAACCGGAAGTCCGTTTCCAAGCTTCCGGTTTGCCCGCAGGGCCGGTTTTTCACACTCCGGAGGCAACGCCTTGTGTCCCCTAACAAATGGCTCCGTGTGCCACCTGTGGCACTTGTGCCATAAGTTCACCATGACAGATCTATTCATTTCTGCACATTTCCTAATCACATTCACCTCCTCTAGACCGATTAGATCCCACAGATTAGGCCTCCTCCGAATTCCATCTGCCGGCCAGTGTCGACTGGCGACTACCCGGAGGAGAGCCTTCTCTGTGGCCGCTCCGACCCTCTGGAACGAGCTCCCCGTGNTTCTTCTCTTTCTTTTAGTTCTATTGTCATTTTATCCATTTCTGCGCATTCAAGTATTTTCCTGATTGTAGTTTCATCTGAGGGTGTATTTTTTCTTTTTCGATCTCTTTTTCTTCCGTAACATCTTCTTGTTTTTCATTTAGTCCCTGAATTGTGCCAGGCAGGAGGGAGCCAAGGAGCTGGTGGTGGTGGTGGTGGGAGGGGGCTCTTGATGGCTCTTCGGCCATTCCTGCCTTTCTCCAAGCAGGAACCCGTGGTCATAACTTGGTTTCTTCTGACAGGATCTCTGACATCCACATGGATGTGGCAGTACCACATTCCACAGGCCTGAGCCCAGCCCCCGAGGTAGAGGATTGCACATGCCCGCCCGGGTATCGAGGGCCCTCCTGCCAGGTAAGCAGGCTGGTGGGGAGTGGGCGTTGCACCTTGAGCCTATGGGCATAAGTAGAGAACTATCTAGGCCCGTGATGGCGAATCTATGGCATGCATGCCCAAAGTGGCACACAAAGCCATGTCACCCACACGCGCGGCCTTGCCTGTTTGTGATTTCTGGCGCACACGTGTGTACGATGATCAGCGTGTACGGCACTTGTGCGGCAATGCCAAAAACTGGGGACAGCTGATTGTCAGTCACGCATGCCTGCCAGAATCTGGAAGTTTGGCTTTTCCGGAGCGCAAGCTCTTCACCTGCATGGCAGTGCCAAAAACTGGCCTGCACATGCATGCCAGCCATCTGATCGCCGGATGCACATGTGTGCTTGAACCCGGAGGTTCAGCTTTTTTGGAGCGCGGCCTGATCAGCGCACACTTGTGCATGTGACGAAGCTGGGGAAAGCACCCAGCCAGTGGGACGGCCCAAAGGCCCATCGGATCACCTTCCCCTCTGCTGGTGTTGAGCTGCCCCTTCCCTCCTCTGTTGCAGGACTGTGACGTTGGGTACACGCGCAGCACCAGCGGACTGTACTTGGGTACCTGCGAGCCATGCAGTTGCCACGGGCACGCCACCGAGTGCGACATGGAGACGGGAGAGTGCCAGGTGGGCAGGCTTCAGGGTGGGAACAGGAGGAGGAGTGCCTCCCCACCACTCTTGGAGCGCAAGGAGGGGTCCTGGACTGCTCGGCCCACCCCAGACCAGCAGCCGTTCGTTCTCAGTGCTGAGAAGGAGCCTGGGAAACTCCCCCCACCACCCCTTGCCCTCTTGGCTGACCCAGCTTCCTTACCTGCTTCCAGGGCTGCCAGCACCACACGGAAGGGCTCCACTGTGAGCGCTGCCAGCCAGGATTCTACGGGGATGCCCAACACGGGACGCCCAGAGACTGCCAGCCGTGCCCCTGCCACGGACCATCCTCAGCTATCCAGTAGGTGGAACCCATGACCGTCGGCAGCCCATTCCTCGCCACGACAGTCCTGTTGACTTCCTCTTCTTTTGCTCCTGCAGGGAAAGGGGGACCTGCTTTGTGGACGCCGACGGAGAGCCAACCTGTGACTCCTGTGCCCAGGGTTACATCGGACGCCAGTGTGAAAGGTAGGCAGCTGGGCCCTCTGCTGGCATTGGGGAGATCCTGACAGGGGACTACCCGTTGGCTTTCAGCTGGCACCAGTCTCGCTCCAGTTTCCACTTCTTTTCCGTTTTTTTAATAAAAAGTTTTTTATTTTAGTTACCGTATTTTTCGGAGTATAAGATGCACCAGAGTATAAGATTCAGCAAGGTTTTGAAGAGGAAAATTTTAAAAAAGGTTTTGCACATGGCAAACCTCCCAAAAACGGCCCGTTTTTGCAAAACCGGGCCCATTTCCCCCCCAAAAAAGGGCATGAATAGCCTTTAGGGAGCTTGTACAGTGCTCATGGGGGTAAAATTGAGCAAAATACAGGCCATTTTTTGCTCATTTTTGTCCTCCCCAGCCCCCAGGAGCTCTCTAAAAGCTTCCTAGAGGCTCTGCACAGCCATTTTGGTGAAGGGGAGGGTTTTCGGGGGCAAAAAATGCTGTATTCAGTGTATAAGATGCACCCAGATTTTCAGCCTCTTTTTTGAGGGAAAAAGGGGGTCTTATACTCTGAAAAATACGGTACGTAATAAAAAATTCTTTTCTGAACAGTGTTGTCTAGATTCCTTCTTTAACATTTCCACAAATCCATAATTCATTCCACATTATGTTTCCATTATTTCCAATTTTAGCCATATACTTTTCTTCTCATATTTTCTGATTTCCAATTTTTAACATATATAAATAACATTTTTTTTCTTCTCTTTAGAAATAAATCAACCATTTCTTTTCCATCTATTTTCTGTTAGCAACATATGTCTTCAAGTTCAATTTTTATTAATCAACATTTAACATAATTAATTTACACATTTAGAAGTATTTTTTTTATTAAAGAGTTTTAATAGATTTTACAAATGTTTCCCCTTCCCCTTCCCTCCCTCCGCCCCAACCCTGCCCTCCCTCCAACCCTCCCTCCCCCCCCAACCTCCCAGAGCAAAATACAGGGTATAAACATTTAACAATCATGCACTAACATAAGCTAACTAATTTAGCATCCTACCTCCTCTTGTACTTTAACTCCCCTTTTATTAAGCTAACTTTAAATAAATTGTAACATTCCTTGTTCATTCATTCATAGGCTAATTGGAATTTCTTAGTCCGATATTTATTTTGAAATAGTCGATCCATCTTCTCCATTCCAGCTTGTATTTCTCATCTGAGTGGTCCTTCAAATATGCTGAGATTTTGGCCATCTCTGCTAAGTTTACTACTTTTAACGTCCATTTTTGAATTGTAGGCAATTCTTCCTTCTTCCACTACTGCGCCACCAACAATCTTGCTGCCGTTGTTAAGTTCAGAATCAAATTGGTCTCTATAACTGTACAGTCTGTGATTATACCTAACAGGAACAACTGGGGAGACGCATTTAGAAGTATTAATATAGCTCACATACATCCTAAATAACACTATTACCTTGTTCACGGTATTTCATTTCATTCTACTAATTCATGCCATTCCGCTAATCTCCTGTTCCCAAGTTTTCTTTTCTCTTTTTTTCTTTGTATATGTCTTATATCTTTTCTTCTGAATTTTTTCTATCGCTTTTCGAGAGGCTGTTTTGGATATCTCTCAAATTCCCCAAATTTCTCTTTCCCATCTCCCGTTATTTCTCTCTTTATTTTTGGCTAATTTCTTGTTCTTTTTTCCCCTTTTTTCCTCTCTACTCTCTTTGTGCCTCTAATCTCATTTAGTTTTGCTTTCCATTTCCATTTCTTTTTCTATCTTGTTAACGTCTAGTTCATTTATGTTACTTGTCTGTTCTCCTCCTGTCTCCGGTTTCAACAGTTTTTCTGGTTCCTTTTCTACCTCTTGGTTGCCTTTTAGTGTTGCTTGTGCATTTTTAAACAATTCCAACAATTCCTCAAACATCCCACTTCTTTTCTTAACTAAGCCTGTTCTCTCGGCCCAGGTGCGCTCCTGGCTACGTTGGGAACCCCAGCCTGGGTCAACCCTGCACAGGTGAGTTCAGAGGAAGGAGGATGGAGAAGTGATGGGGAGTTGGCCATGTAGACAGGGGAAGCTTCCTTGACAGGATGGAATCAGAACTGGCATGGAAAGGAAGGAAGGAAGGAAGGAAGGAAGGAAGGAAGGAAGGAAGGAAGGAAGGAAAGATGGGAATGGGGAAGGAGGGAAGGAAGGAGAGAGAGAAAGAGAGTTGGGAGGAAAGGAGAGGGAGAGAGAGAGAAAGGATGAAAGAAAAAAGAAAAGGAGAGAAAGAGAAAGGGAGGGAGCAGGAGGGAGGGAGAAAAAGGAAGGAAGAAAAGATGAGAATGGGAGGGAGGGAAGGAGGAAAGGAAGGAGAGAGAGAGAGAAAGAGTGGGGAGAAAGGGAGGAGGGAGAAAAAGGAAGGGGGAAAAAGAAAAGAAGGGGAGAAAGAGAAAGGGAGGGAGCAGGTGGGAGGGAGAAAAAGGAAGGAAAAAAAGATGAGAATGGGGAGGGAGGGAAGGAGGAAAGGAAGGAAGGCAAGAGAGCAAAAGAGAGGGGAAGAAGGGAGGGGGAGAGAGAGAGAGAAAAAGGAGGGAAGGAAGAAAAAAGAAAAGGAGAGAGAGAAAGGGAGGGAGGGAGAAAAAGGAAGGAAGAAAAAAGGAAGGTAGGGGAGAGAGAGAAGGGGAGGAGAGAGGGAAAAAATGAAGAGAAAAGAAAAGGAAGGAAGGAGAGAAAGAGGGGGAGGGAGAGAACGAGAAAAAAAAGAAACGAAGAGAAAGAAAAAGAAAGACTTTAAGGATGGCACAGAAGGGGGGGGAAACCATCCAGAGTGCCCACCAGGCCACAGCCCCCTTTCCTCTCTGCCTCCCTCCAGATCCCGGCTCCCGGTGCCATTGCAACCCACACGGCAGCATCAGCCACCACTGTGATGCCAGCAGGCAATGCCAGTGTAAGGTAGGCTGGGAGAAGGGCAGAAGGGAAGGGGCCCTGTGCTTTCCACCTTCTCCTCCTCCTCCTCATTCCCCCCTTCCTCTGCAGAGGAGTTCTAGCCTGCTCTGCCTCTTGCCCAGCTCCCTCGAACGACAATCCTGCCCTCCCAGGTCTCCAGCCATGCTCTAGCCCAGTGGTCTTCAACCTTGGCAACTTTAAGACCTGTGGACTTCAATTCCCAGAGTTCCTCAGCCAGCAAAGCTGGCTGAGGAACTCTGGGAGTTAAAGTCCACAAGTCTTAAAGTTGCCAANCTCTCCTGCCTTGTGTTTACTTGGAAGAATCATCTGTTGGTATTGTACATTTATTCCTCTATTCTTATGTATATAAAGAAGTTAATGAATCCAGCGGAATCAGTTATCTCTGTGTCATCATTTAAGGGGAGGGGGTCTTCCTGTGCTCCCACAGGGACATCTGAAGGCCTGGTGAGCTAAGCCAGCAGAGAGAAACCCCATTGCAGCTTTTCGATTTGTGCCTGCTCTGTTGCTTGCTTGATGGTTGTGAGAAAAGGCGCAGAAGCAGGGAAGCCCATGGAAGGAGGTCTGCCTTCCGCTTGGCCTACCTCGCTGGGTCGCAGGGAGGATAAAAATCCCCACTGGGTCGAAGCAGTTTACGGGGGGGGGGCAACTTGACAGGAATCTTCCTGACTGGGACCGGAAGCCCCTCCTGGCTGGGGGGGGGGGGAAACGAGTGACTGAACAGAGGGTCTCCATTTCACCCGTGCAGGTGGGCTCCTACGGAGGACGCCTCCGCTACACGCTTTCCTACTCGGCCGGAGGGAGAGGCACCCCGCTGCCCGATGCGGATGTACAGATTACCGTAAGTTGGGGATGGGGGCACCCTGCCTGGAAGTGGCCTGTGGGGATGGGAGGGGGAAGTTGAAGCCCCTCCCTCAGGATTCCCCCTTCCCTTTTCTGCTGTCCAAGTTTGTGGTTTCCTTCAAGCACTCCGCCTGTCTTGGAGGAAGGAAGCGGGATTAGCAATTGGCTTCTCTGCCCCCTAGCAATAGCACTTAGATTTATATACCGCTTCGCAGCGCTTCACGGCCCTCTCTAAGCGGTTTACAGAATCAGCCTCTTGTCCCCCAACAATCTGTGTGTCCTTATTTTACCCACCTGGGAAGGAAGGAAGGCTGAGTCAACTTTCAGCCTGGTGACATTCGAACTGCCAAACTTCAGGCAGCCAGCAGTCAGCAGAAGTAGCCTGCAGTACTGCACTCTAACCACTGCGCCACCCTACGAAGTGGGTGGGTGGGGAGGATTTGGGACCCTGCTTGCGGATCCCCCAGCTGCTGTGGAAGGCTTCCCTCCCTTGCTCTTCCTCTCCTTCAGGGCAACGACATCACCCTGGTGGCCTACCTATCCGAGCTGCGGCCTCACGAGCACAAGGGCTTTGAAGTGATCTTCCGGGAGGTAAAGCAAGGGGGAGTTACGGGAGTGGGAGGGAGCAGGCAGGCTGGCATTCCTGCACACTCCACTGCACCCCAGTGTGCCCCTTCTGTCAGAGTGCACTCAGCGTGACTGCTATTTTGAGACAACTCAGGAGCAAAATATAGTACACAGGGGTTTTGTCTTTCAAACACTGTGTCATATTTCCCAAAAAGGCCCTAATTGATTCATAAGCATCGAGTCAAGTTTTCAATACAAAACCAGTCTTTTATTTGGAGCACCATTAGGCAAGATTTGTTCGCAGTCAAGCCTCTGCTTTGTTTGCTTTATCTCTGAACTTTACCCCTGTTGCTTCCCTCCCCTCAGTCTGTGTCGTAAATCACATTACCCTATAAGATGCACCCCTCCCAAACTGGCTGTAGCAATCTGAGATCCGACTCCAGACGACAATATGCAGGGAATGCACTCCCCCCCCCCAATTCTGTCCCATGACAGCATTGAGTGTTGACACAGTGGTTTATATACAAGACATATATAAATACCTACACGTGTTAGGCAAATGCCAGGCAAGCAATCAATCTTCAACTCTACACTGGGAACCACAATGGAGATAAAACAGAAGGAGAGAAATACACAAGGCAAAAGAAACACCCTCACATGGCCTCCTTTATATATACACAGCTTCTTAAAGTGGCAGTAACCCTGCTGACTCATCCTTATGCCATCATCTCAATTTACAGCCTTACAGCAGCTGGTCAGCTATTCAATCGTCATTACCCTGACACTTTGTTGCCTCCAGACTGAGCTGCAGAAGCAGTCCAGCTGCCGATCCCACGCCTTGCCCTGCTTCTGCCCCTTGCCACGCTCAGCCGCACTCCCCGTCTCCTTTTTCTCCCTAGCAATTCTGGAAGCGACCGGATGGGCAGCCTGCCACGCGGGAGCACCTGCTGATGGCCCTGGCCGACCTGGATGAGATCCTCATCCGCGCCACCCACTCCACAGATATGCTTTCGGCGGGCATCGCTGGTGTCAGCATGGAGACTGCGGTGCCCACCTACACCAGCCTGCCCCGGGCTTTGGAAGTGGAGGAATGCCGCTGCCCGCCCGGATACCAGGGCCTTTCTTGCCAGGTGAGCTGACCCGGCTTGGCCCGGCAGGACCCGCAGGCCTCAGAGGAGGCACTGACATTCCCCCTCCCCACTTCCTGCCTTCTCTTCCCACAGGACTGCGCGGCCGGCTACACCCGGACCGGCGGAGGGCTCTACCTGGGTCACTGTACGCTGTGCGAATGCAACGGGCACTCGGAGTCCTGCCACCCTGAGACTGGCACTTGCTCGGTGAGACCCCTTCTGGGTTGCTGCCCCCCACCCCCCGGCATGAAATCCTCTTTACCTTCGCTACCAGTTTGGAGCGTCGGTGATGACGTCTGGGTGCGTGGGCGGAGCCTCCTGCTGCTGCCAGTAAGAGTTTGCCCAAACCAGCAGGATGCCACCTCTGCTCCCCCTGAGTTTCTGGGTGGGGGGCTTTGCCCCTTCTCTGAGTGCCAGAGACACCACCAAAGAGGGAGGAGCAGGAATATGTTCTTTGCCTGGGGAGGGGCCTGAAGGGAAGAGGGGCCTTTTGGGGCCTATCGGGAGAGCCAGAACTGGAATCCCTTCCCATCCCCCACCCCCAGGTGAGCAGCCGTCCTTTCCTGCCTGAGAAAGGCATCCGGCAAGCCATTTTGGTGGCTTCGGCTGGGCTGCTCAAAGCTAGTCTAAACCTGGCATGGAATCTGGCAGAGGAGGATGTGGGGCTGAGTGGGAGGGAGGGAAGGAGAGGGGGAAACGGCTGATGTTACGCAACTGGGAGTTGGGATACTTTTGCCGTGATGAAACGGCCTGTTTTGAATTAGGCATCCCATTTATCCCGTTCCCCATTAATTGGATCAAACGGGGATTTTCTTTAAATGAGCATTTCTTTTGGGGGAAAAAAGCAGTGGTGGAAACTTGTGGGGAGGTTTGGCTTCCAATGTGGCCTTCTTAAGTCTCTTTTTTTTTCCCCTCTGGGTTTCCGTTTGCCTTTCTTTCCCACAATGACGATCGATCCTTCCTTCTTTCCTTCCTCTCCCTCCTTCCTTCCTCCATTGCTCCCTCCCTCCCTCCTTTCCCTCTTCCGTCCTTCCTTTGTCCCTCCCTCCTTCCATTACTCCATCACTCCCTCCCTTCTCCCTCCCTCCTTCCTTTTCCCTTTCCTTCCTTCCTTTGTCCCTCCCTCCTTCCATTACTCCATCCCTCCCTCCTCCCTTCTTTCCTCCCTCCCTCCTTTCCCCCTTCCTTCCTTTGTCCCTCCCTCCTTCCATTACTCCATCACTCACTCCTTCCTTCTCCCTCCCTCCTCCCTCCCTCCTTTCCCCCTTCCTTCCTTTGTCCCTCACTCCTTCCTTCTCCCTCCCTCCCTTCCCCTTCCTTCCTCCCTCCCTTCCTCCCTCCCTCCATTCCCCCTTCCTACCTTTCTTCGTCCCTCCCTCCCACCCTCCTTCTTTCATTCTCCTTCTCTCCCTCCCTCCTTCCTTCCTTCCTTTCTCCATTGCTCCCCCCCTCACTTTCTCCCTTCTTTCCTTCTCCAGCACTGTCTGCACCACGCGGCTGGGGAGTTCTGTGAACGATGCGCCCCTGGCTACTATGGAGATGCCACCGCCGGGACCCCCGAGGACTGCCAGCCGTGTGCTTGCCCATTGCCGGATTCTGAGAACCAGTAAGCCACCTGCCCTCTTGGGACAGGGTTTGGGCACAGATCCCTCTCAGCCAGAGTTCAGGATGACCCCCTCTTTCTTTTTTGGCAGATTCTCGCGGACGTGCGAGAGCCTGGAGGGCGGCGGCTATCGCTGCACCGCCTGCGAACCTGGTTACGCTGGCCAGTATTGCGAACAGTGAGTGGGTCTCTCCCTGGAAGGGCTGAGCTGGGATGGGGCAGTAGCCCCTGAGAGCCCCCTGATGGGTCTCTGGTTCTCCCCCTAGGTGTGCCTCTGGATATACGGGCAACCCCAACATCCGTGGTCAGAAATGTCTTCCGTTGGGTGAGCAAAGATGTGCTTGCTAGTTGTGGAATTGTTGTTCTACGAAAAGGGTGTGTGCGTGCTGATGGCTCTTGTTTTACACAGTCAGGGGTGGGGGAGCTTAACAGTAACCAGAAGGGACCTTGGAAGGGACCTTGGAGGTCATCTAGTCCAACCCCCTGCTCATGCAGGGAGACCTATACTCAGGATTTGAACCGTCGAACTGCCAACCTTTCTTGATTGACAAGCTCAGGATCTTAGTCGCTGAGCTGAGCTGCCCTGTTAAGGTAATGATGATGTAACAGCTGCCCAGCTGCCCGAAGGCTGTAAACCGAATAATGCAATGAGAATGAGTCAACAGGGTTACTGCCACTTTAAGAGACTGTCTATATAAGAGAGGCCCTGTGAGGGCAGTTTCTCTCTCTCTCGCCATATGTGCTTCCATGTTATAGTTGAAGATTGATTGATTGCCTGGTTTTGCCTAGTACATGTATGTATATATGCACACTCTGACATGCCCCCTCACCTCGGCCTCTCCCTTTGCCTCCTGCTCCTTCTCAGGACGCCCCGACCAGCCCCGCCTGGTCGTCCAAATCCATCCCTCCCGGACGGCTGTGTCCCAGGGCAGCGAAGTGACGCTACGTTGCCAGGTCAGTGGGGAGTCGCCACATTTCTTCTACTGGTCCCGGGAAGATGGCCGCCCCGTGCCAAGTACTGCCCAGCGCAGGGAGGAAGGTGAGTCTGTGCTATCCCCCCAGCTGGGCAGATTACAAAGCAGTGGGGGAGACCCAGAAGGGGAGGGACAGTGACCCGGGCGGGGAGAGTCGTGTTTTTGGGGTCAAAGGAATCCGGGCTTGGCCAGGGAGGATGAATAGATCTCTGAAGGGCCCTTCACGGGGTCCTTGCTTCCTTCTCTCGATTGAGTGTTGCTGCATTCTCGGCAATGCTCCTGGGTCTGAAGTGGGAAGCTTCCCTAGAGAGGCCGGGATTCAGCTGGGACAGGAGTTAGCAACCTGCAGCTCTGGAGCCGCATGTGGCTCTTTTATCCCTCTGCTGCAGCTCCCTGTTGCTCAAAATATGTGTCACAACTGCCATTGTGCAACACCCATTGGCACGTGATTTATTGAGGTTTTCAATCTGCGGTAGGCCCATCATGGTTAAATTGAAGAAAACAAAAGTTTCAGAAGAAAACAGAATGTTGAATTCAACTACGTATGCTAGTTTTGTGGCCACTCAGGAAATAATCAGGCACAGAGAGGTTTTTGAGGCTCCCGGTGTTTTTTTTTTCCAGTGGGAAGCAGATCGACATGGCTCTTTGCGTGTTTAAGGTTGCCGACCCCTGAGCTGGGGCTTTTTGTGGGGCGAGCAGGTGTTCTGTGCCCTAGCCTTAAAAGGAAGCAAAGGTTCTAGTTCTCAAGATTTCTACAGAGTAGGGAGAGGGGAGGCAAATGGCCGCCTATTCTGTAGACCAGTGTTCCCTAACTTTCTGGCTTTGCAGAACAGGGAGGGCGGGAGAAATGGGATGGTTCCGCACGAGCCGTGTGCGCAGGCACCATTTACAGGACCGGCGTGCGCGTCTGCCACCAGCCATGCAAATGGAGCACATGGGCATGGGTTCGCCCACTGCTTGCACAAGCGTGGGTTGCGTGTCGCTGAACTCGGTCTGCCCGGTTGCAAACAGCTCAAGGCCCATTAGTGGGTCGTGGCCCAGAGGTTGGGGACAGCTGTAGATGAAGCAGCCAGCTGGTTTCTGACTCTGTCCCTCCTGAATCCCCCGCAGGCGTCGAGCTGCACTTTGCTAGCATCCGGCCCTCGGAGGCCGGCGTCTACGTCTGCACCTGCCGAAACCCCCATTTTACCAACTCCAGCCGCAGTGAGGTGATCGTCACAGGTGAGGCGGAAGCTTCCACTTAGAAACTGGGCTGCCAGGTGCAGGGAGGCGTGTAAGGGGACCTCCGACCCCCCAGCAGAGCTGACGAGAGCTGGCTCCCTCTTTTCCTCTGGGGAGAGAGGGAGGGGCAGGACCAGCTGGGCAAGGCTGACCATCTCCTTTCGGCCAGCACAGAAGGTCCCAGCAAGGCCATCTCCGTGACGGTGGAAGAGCAGAAGGTGCAGAACGTGAAACCAGGCAGTGACGTCACCTTCCTCTGCACCGCCAGGAGCAAGGTGAGTCTTTGGGGGTGGGGAAGAGAGAAAGGGGTGTGGGGGGAGCTTTGCAAAGGACAGGCAGAAGTACAACGGGTTAAGTCCGAGAGGTCTGTCGAGACCTGCAGCAGCACAACAGCACTCAGGGGAAGCGTGAGGGCCACCGTGGTTGCCTCTCAGCTCAGCATGCCGGGACTCTCCCTGGATGTCCAGAGTTTCAGCCACGGACACCACCTCCCCTTCCCGAATCGGGCAGGTCCCTTTGGGCCCTTGGCTGCCTCTCTTCCAGCCCCCTTTCTCTCACTCGTCCACCTCCTGCCTTCCCCTGCAGTCTCCTGCTTACACGCTGGTGTGGACGCGGCAGAACAACAGGAAGCTGCCCAGCCGCGCCATGGATTTCAACGGCATCCTGACCATCCGGAACGTGCAGCCGGAGGACGCCGGCATCTACATCTGCACGGGCTCCAACATGTTTGACATGGATGAGGGGACAGCCACCCTCTACGTGCAAGGTGGGGCTTCGGCTCTCGCGCCCTGCCGGCTGCCGGGGAGAAGCGCCTCTGACTCGGCCCAGCAGCCCGCACCTCCCGAGCGCTATGCTGGTCCGGGCCGCCACCCCAGGACCAGCGGCTTCCACGCAGGCTCATGCAAAGACACGCTTCTGCTCACATCCATAAGGCGGGGGTGAGGGGCGGGGTGGGAAATGGAGGAAGAATCTTTTGGGACTGGGTGGCCAGTCTTTGAAGATGGCTCCCGGACTCGTAAGTCTCCCGCTTGAGGCAACTCATCGCGCAGCCACCTTTTCACATGCCAACACTCTCCCCACCCCTGTTTTCAGCTCCATCGAAGACCCAGATGTTCTATGGTCCCGTAGAAATGGTGGAAGGCCACAGACCTTGTAAGTCGGTTTGGCCTGCAGGTGCCTGTCCGCCCCCCCACTGGGACCCTACTTTGCCCGTTGGCTGGTGCTGTTTGGCCTTTCTCCTTCTCTTCCTCTTCCTCCACCTCCTTCTTTTCTTCTACTCTTCCTCCCCCATCCCTCTTCCTCCTTCCCCCCTCCTCCTCCTCTCCTTTTCTTCCTCCCCCTCTTCTTCTTGCCCCCTCCTCCTCCTCTTTTTCTTCCTCTTCCTCCTCTTCCTCCACCTCTCTCCTTCTCTTCTTTCCTCCTCCTCTCCTTTTCTTCCTCCCCCTCTTCTTCTTG